TGTAACAAAAACTTAAAATTTTGAAAATCAAAATTATTTTAACAAAATCATAATCTTGAAGCGGACGTGAAAAACTTAAATACAGAAACCTTCGGTAAAAAGATCGTCAATAATGTTCATAAAAATTATGAACTTCTTTTTATAGAACTTGAAAACTTTGGAAAAAAATTTCTCAAAAAAAAATTTAATTTTCATATAATATTCGTGATAGCATTACTTGAATATGAATACCCAACCTCAGTTTTTATGACAATATTTTGGCCTTCCACAAAACTCCTCTCTTTTGATTTTTACAAAATACATTTTACAATATCTACAATGCTTACTTTATAAAGTATATTGAATGCAATTTTGTGTTCCATATAGCTCTTAAAAACTTTTTAATTGGTTTTAAAATTAAAACAAAATTGAACATACCTCCTAATTCTATGACTAACAACACCCTAATGTAGAACCAGTCAAGGCTGTTGCCATAATGAAAGACTTTTGCGTACCCCCATCTCGTTTTGACTGAATAGATCATATAAGTAATTATTGTATCTTAATTATTGAAATATATAAAAAAAAAGACATTATTTTCATTAAATGTTTTTACCATATCAGGAGTCTATCGAGAGATTCTTGTCACAATCTTGTCTTTGGAATTTTAAGAAAAAAAATTTGGAATGTTGTAAAAGACAAAAAAGAATTTTGAAAAAAAAAAAAAAAAAAACTTCAATTATTTTTAGGTCCTAATTCTGTATAGAATACACAATTTTATGAAAATAGTTATTTAAGATAATTTTCTCTTAAATATAGAAAACTAAAGTATAATTTTAAAAGAAAAAAATAACTAATAAAACAAATTCAGTTTGACATTTATTTTTGTATAATGATTATAAAATTAAATCTAAAATAAAATTCTGTTTTACCTTTCAGAAATTCAGACCCGTTTAGTTGTTTGGCAATATATAAACGTCTTTTCAATATAAATGCTAATTAAGTTATTCCAAATAATATAAACATTTTTCAAATTATTCTTTTGTTGAATTATGTAAAAGTAAAAAGAAAATTTTATCAAGGCACTAGTGAAGTGACTAATTATCTCATAATGCCTCATATTTAGTGATATAGAAATATATTTGAATCAGTCATAAATAATAAATCACCATCTTCCAATAAATAATCATGAGTTAATAGTATTTGCTAGGTTTTTACTATTTTTTCTCGGTTCTGATAAAAACAGATGTAGCAGCTGTTGAAAAAAAAGTTCATTACAAAGATTGGCTCACTAACAGTGTAGATTATCTAATTTTTGACCAAATTATGGAAAAAATTGAAAGGAAATGCAAGAGAAAATGATAATAAAACTATTAATTCATTTATTTCAATTCAAATCATATATTCAATTAAAAATATTTAGCCATAGTCACAAAGTCTAATATTAAAAGCTAATTTTTCCGACAGTTAACTTTGATTTGAAACAGGGTTGGCAAGTTTTTGACACATGATGGTCTTTACCGGTTTTTACCATGGTTTTTACCGTAATGTCAAAAACGTCAGAAACTGTCAAAAACCCATAGTTTTGATAAAACTGTATTTTAATTTGAGTTTAACTGCTTATGATTTAAAATTAATTCATTTTTGGGCAATAAAATTAGAAAAAAAATTGTTACAAGATATTTAAGAACAGATTTTTGCATTTTTCCAACATGATTATATCAAATCATACAATTTGAAGTAAAATATTAGGATACTAAACAAAATTTTCAACATTTCCAAGCATCATTTTGTTTGGAATATTACATTACTAAAGAATGTCAAGTCATTCCTGACTTAGAGTTTGTTAGTAGTTACAAGTTTTTAAAGTTTTGTTTAGCTTAGAATATTTAAGAATTATTAGAATATTTAAGAAATGCCAAATCTTAAATTCTTTTTAATTTTTGAATTTATTAATAGTTCCAAGTTTTTTTGTTTGTTTATTTCTAACAATTAAGAAGTGCAAAATTTAGAATCCGTTGCAAATCAAGTTATAATGATAAAAGTTAAGTATCACTATTTTCAATAAGTATGTCACAATATTTCTGTATGAATGTATATCCTTCTATAAGAATACTTGTATATAGTTGCAAAATCAATAGCAATCATTTAAAACATTCATTTATAAAGGCAATTAGGTGAAAATAATATATTGTCCGCTATATGCCATAAATTAAAGAAAACAGTAGGTTTTTGACGGTTTTTACCGGTAAAAACACGTTTTTTACCACTGTCATGTCAAAAACCCAACCCTGATTTGAAATAAATATCAAAAATGTATGTTGCCTATTCAATATAAATTTTAAACACCATGAATTGGCACTTGTGATCAATGGTATAAAGTAATCTAAATAGCTTTAATACTTACCAGTCCTTATATTAAAAACTGAAAAAGTCATGAAAACAGTACTTTATATATAAAACACAAATTAGAGGTATAAGAAACATCCTTACCTATAACAAGCAGGAAACAGTTCAAACAGGAGGAAACATGTAGAAGTTTACTGACATCAATGTAGACTCAGTTTGGCACAAGAAGAAACAATTTAACTAAGGCTTAATGATTACTTTACATGACAGGTAAGTCTTGTCCTTTTACATTTAAAAGCACCTTAGTAAATCAAAATGCTCACTGTTTTCTGTCCTTGTTGTGAAGAAAAGCTTTAAATTTAAAAAATAACTTACAGAGACGTAAGTTACATTACTTTACAGACAGGTAACTTACATTACTTTTAAGACAGGTAAGTCTTTTTTCGCTTCATACTTAATAGCACAGTAGTAAATCAAAATGCTCACTATTTTCTGTCCTTGTTATCAAAAAAAGCTTTAAACTTAAAAAATAACTTACGGAATGTTAGCTGTCGAAGGACAAAAAGTTACCAGTACTCTTCATATCATACTAAGAAGATTCAGATTTAAAAAGAAATTGAATTACCTAGTGGATGCTAAAATTTTGGTAAGAGTTTTCTAGAAACAGTAAATGCTGAAATTCCGGTGTGTATTTTACCTAATAACAGTAAATGCTGAAATTGTTTTCATTTTTCACGAATCTGAAGTCACTCACTCTGTGATAGATTCTGTTCAGGAGTCACTATTTAGATTCGTAGTATGTTCAAATCAGAATGTGCACTTTTTTTTAGAGATATTTGTTAGGTAATAAAAAAAAAAGAGAAAAATTACCTAACAAAGTCCAAAGGTCAGAGATCCAGATAATGAAAAAAAAAGAAAGAATAAATAAGATTCAGAAATTTTAACTGTATTCTGTAAATGTATTTATTCTTTTCTTTTAGAAAAGAAAATATATATTTACTTTTTCAACCATATTAAAACTTAATTCAAAATTTATGCATTAATTCAAAAAATGATTTTATAAAATATTTACTTGTTCCTGAGTTTGAAAATTGAGAGCTCCTAAGATTTCATCAAATTCTTACTTTAAATTTTCATGAACTCCATGAATATATAAAAAATTAAAGTTGTGAAACTAAATATTCTATGAACTAATATACCTTTTTTCTAAAAAAGGATGAAATCACAAAATAAACATAAATAAAAATAAATTGATAAAATAATAATGACAAAACAGTACATTGAGATTTAAAAAAATTGGGGCATAACGACTCAAAAATGAAAGTATAAATTTTTTCTCCAAGAAACGATTAAAAAACTAAAGATAAATAACGACAGAAAATGATACTCCCGATTCTCTATTTTTGCCATTACACTAGGGGTGCACAACCTTTTTGAGTGAAGGGCCACATGCGCAGCAGATTGACTAACGAAGGGCCGCATGCCAAAGGGAACACCCAAAGTATTTAGACAAACATATTCATAGCAATATTAGGTAGTAATTGTTATAAAAACATTGTTCTAACCACTAAATTCCTTTTCTAAGTTAACCTTGTAATATCTTAGCATAAAATTAAATACTTTTAAATGTTTAACGTTAAAAACTTCTAAACTAAGAAAAAACTGAGCCTTCTAAGAAAAAACAGAATCAGTTAATCAGAAGAAAATTTAGATAAATTGAAATAATTAAAAAACTATGGGAAAATACATGTTTTTTAAAAGTCATATTACATAATACATAAGTCCATTTTAACATAAATTTTAACTTAAAAAAATTTGTTCATAGAAATAAATTTTAAAAAAATTTTCTAGTTATTAAAATAAATACAAGTTAAATACTTTGATTTAAAGAAAGTTTATAGGGTTAAAAATGATAAAAATTGAAACAAAACCCCATCTGCGGAAAATAAGATTTAGCATTTAGAAGGGGAATATACTTAAACTTTAAAACATTTATTTTAAATTAATGATAGGAAGCAGGGGCAGAGAGAGGGAAGACAGAAAGAAAGCATTAATCTTGAATAAACTATTTTCCTTAATAATAAAAAACTATTAAGATACTTGTTTAAAATTTTTATGGCGAGTATTTTTTTAACATGACACTTTCTATTTACAATTAATACACATATGCATAAACAATTAGTAACATTTACATTACTTAACGAAACTTATTTTGATTATATTTTTTACTGTTAAAATTTAATGACATACAAATCATTTCCCAACGTACAATCATGAATGATATGAAATGGTGGAAGTATAGCATAAGAAAATGGTTAAAAAATTTTCTTAATGGTTATCGTGTAATTTGAAAAAATTTTAAATATTGGGATAATTTTATTCACTTGATCATGTGATTCACTTGATCATGCTTTTTCGAGCCATTAAATGAATTTGTTAAAAGACTGCTCTGTAATTTTGAATAGGCCAAATTTATTCTGGAAAACAGTCTTATGACAGAAGCTGTTGTTGTGGGTAGTATTAAATTAGGGCAAAAAACTTAATCACTTTTGGAATTCTTCCTAGATGGTGTTCTTCATTTCCATATTTTTAAATCACGTGAATACAAATAGTGATGTGTTATTTTATAATTGCCCAAATACTAATTGTTATGTGTGCTTTTTAAATTGCGCAAATATAAAACGCAATGTGTGATTTTCAAATTGCGTGAATACGAATTGAGATGTACAATTTTAAATTGCGAAAAGACTACTCACAGCGCATGATTTTTAAAATGTGTGAATATGAATCGCGATATATGGTTTTTAAATCGCGTGAATATGAATCGCGATGGATGATTTTTAAATCTCGTTATTTTTAATACGAAATGCGCTGCGCAATTTTAAGATCGCGTAAATACGAATTACGATGTGTGAATTTTAAATTACGCGAAGAATTAAAACGTATGATTTTTAAAACGTATAAATACGAATCTCGACATGTGATTTTTAAATCATGTAACAACAAAAAGAATAGGTTGAGTGTGTGATGTTAACTTGCACTTGTTCATGGGACTAAAGAAATATACACGTGTTTTGAATTATTTTTTAGCAAAGGGGAACGCGTTTAATATAAATGTACACAACTTGTTTTTATTTTTCATTTTTATTCTTTTTAGGAAGGTATCGATTTTGCTAAAATACGTAATTACTTTTTAAGTTCCAAAAAAAAATTAAAACAGTATCGAATTTTAAGAGTTGTAATATTGTGCTAAAATATCAGGATATTCTAAATTACAAGTAAAAAGACGTTCGAAAAACCTTTTATATTTATGTAAAAATCGACACAAATACAGCACATAAAAAGTAATTATTTTAATGCGCGATTCAAAACTCGCGTGCTGTCAAATTATATGAAAAATATAAATTTTTTTTAAATCACGGGTAAAAAGCGTAGTAATAACTACAAAGGAAATTATCAAAATACCTTTATATTTGCGGTGAAATTGGTGTCAATAAAACGCGTCAAAATTTTATGTATTTAAATGCGAAATTAAAGTATCAAAATAGCATATAAAAAATATCGGACTTTCAAAACCTTGTAGAGATGTGTAACAATAATTGCCAAAATAACGATTGAAAAATAATTTGATTTGCAATAAAATTGGCACAAATAAACCACGTCAAAAAATGGTTATCTAAATGAGCGATTATTTAATCGCGATTCGTAATAATATCGTGCCAAAATATCAAAATTTTAAAAACCATGCGGAAATGCGTAGCAACAACTGCCGAAAAAGATTAGATTTTTCATGAAGTTTGCACAAATAAAGCGTTTCATAACTCTTTAAAAATCGCGATTTCAGAAAATACGTGAAAATGGGCAGCAATAACTACCGGAAAGTCATTGAATTTACGATAAAATCGGAGCACTCAAAGAGAGTCAAAAGTAATAACTAAAATTAGAAACTCGTATATCGTAATAATGATGTGTTCAAAATAATGGTATTTTCAAAACTATGCCTAAATCTGTAGAGGTAACCATCGAAAAAAAGCGATCGAAAAGTACATTCAGTGAAATTGGGTGCGTCAAAAACTTAAATGCGTAAATTTCAAATTTCCGAATTTTTTTTTTATTTAAAAAAAAATTTAATTTTTTTTCTTCATTTTGTTTAGATTGCGGTAGCGGGCCGCACATTGAGGGTTGGCGGGCCGCATTTGGCCCGCGGGCCGCAGGTTGTGCACCCCTACATTACACGATATAGAAAATTTGATTAAATTAAATATTACTCCCTATTATGCATAACTGTCATAGGCTAATATCGATAAATGATTGTAAGTAAAAGTAGCTTTATTTTAGAAGACATTACAAAATGAAAAAACATGCAAAAAAAATTTGCTAATTTTTTCGTCTTTAGATTTTATAGCCAACTTACATGAAGTCTTTATATGTTAACAATTTTATCAAATAAACGCATAATAATTGATAAGTTAATATCACACGATTATTACATATGATTTACAAAGTACGATCACTGAAATTAAAACCTTAACTATTCTATTTACTATTATAGTAGAAAAAAAATTTCTAAATATCTGCCATTAAAGGAAAGTGAAATATGATTTTAAGCAAACATTATGAATTATCCATAAGTAATAATGTCAAGGATACATTAACAAATTATCAAGAAATAAGAATTTTAAGAACTAAATGCAAAGATAAATAAATAAAAAAAAGTAGCTATTAAGATCATAATATACAATAAATTTTTATTAGAAATATTAAGATTTCATCAAAGTTAAATTATTGTCAGATTTTAATCCTGAAATATATTTAATATATGGCTCTTTGTTTGGATGTAAAAAAAAAAGTAGAATTCAGCAGAATCATTTAGAAGTTAGTTTGGATAATAGGGAATATAATTATCGGGCTCTGAAGATGCTTATTATATATAAATATATTAAGTTATAAGTGATATATTACACAAGTGTAATAGCTAAATGATAGGGTAAGAAATGAAAACTAAAGGAAATAAAAGGTAGGTGAAAAAAAAGATGAACATTAAATGAAAAAAAAAAAACTTAATTAGACATTGAAGAGAAGCCTAAAAATTTCCAATTTTTCACCAAAGTAGCTCCAATTCCAGAAGTGTGTTTTTTGAATAAATTTGGAAACCTTTCCAATAAGCTTTCTATATCTCCTGCATTTACATTTGAATCAATCTTGATTAAATATGAGCATATGTAATCAATACTAGCTCCAAAGGGATGGACATTCAAGAACGTCGCAATCAAAGCAATTAAACACATCTCATGTTGAGTAATAGTGCTCATATTATTACCGCTTTCATCTACAGAACTGGATCTAACATCATGTGATTGGCTAGAAGCGGTGTTAAGACCTTGAGTAGCTACAAATTCTTCTTTAAATTTTTCTAATTCAGATAACTCTGCTTGTTTTGCTATAGCTTCTTCTTTCTTTTCTTGCAGAATTTGAGCATATGTATTACAAGTTGATTCCATCTTTATTTTCAATGTAGCATTTTTTTCAACAGCATTTTGATAGCGATTCCTTAACTCCTCTACTTCTTCACGAAGTTTCCGAACTTCATCTTTCGATACGCCTTTGGTATTTTCAGAGATATCTGCTGATTTTTGCTCTTCTTCCTCTCCTTCACTTAGTTCCATTTCATCTTCAACACGTTCTTCAACTAATTCTCTGGAATGGGTTTTGATGATATCCAATGTTTTTTCCCTCATAATCTCAATTTCTTTTCTTTGCGCTTTTGTGAAACTATCCATTAAAGATGGTAAGCTTTGAATTGTCTCAAAAACCTTGTATATCTCATTGAAACATAAAGAAATAGATGTCATTTTCTGCTGCATCTGCCCCTTGGCATCGGACATTTTTTCTTCTAACTTAACTTTCTCATTTAACAATGTCTTCACATGACTATTTGTACACTGAATCATGGAATAAAAACTTCCACAAGTTTTCCTGTTACATTCTCCTCTTTCTAACCAAGTAATCAAAACATGAGTAGCAGATTTGAAATGTTCTTTGCTCTTAAGTTTATCAGTTAACAGATTTGCTTCATGCTCAGAATAATGAACAACCGGTGGTGGCGTTGGAGGTCTCGAAGCTTCTTGCTCCATTCTTTCTCTATGACGAGCTTCTCTTTGTAATGCTCGTTGCAAACATTCCCATTCATACTCATCATCTCTTGCTTTAGCAAAATCAACATGAAGCCTTCCAGAATAAGCGCTTTCGTCTTTATTTTCAATTTTTAATCTATAGCCAGATAACATCATTGCCTCATCTACATAAGCTTCTGCAATAAACCGCACATGGCAAAAATTCTTTTTACTCATTCGAACAGTACTTATTTCACCACATCTACTAAAGATCTCACGGACTATTTCTTCGGAAATTTTTTCCGGTAAGCCTCCAACAAACACAGTTTTACAACCTGGGTGTCTTTCTCTTGTCTTAATATGTTGCCCTGGATGAGGAGGATAAAGAACACAAGAGGATAAAGTGATAGTTTCCTTTACTGGAGGAATCATCATAGAGTTGTCTGGGGGATACATAGGATATGGTAAATAGTTTCCCATCATACCATACATATCACCTGTCATGGGCATATAGGCTGCATAAGGATTAATACCAGCACTTGTACTAGGCATCATATCCATGCCTGAGCTAACAGGAAGTGTAGTAGAAGCTTGCATTGTATTCGGAGGCATTCCCATGCCATCCATTTGGTTACCAGGCCACTGAGGATTCATTGCAGCATACATGTTAAAAGGAGTCATCATAGAATAAGATCGTTGATTCGGGTCAACGTTATATTGTTCTGGAACACCATAACTGTAAGCAGAAAAAGATTGAGCCATAGTAGGAATTGTTGGTTGCTGCGTGTTAGATTGAAGCGATGGTTGAGAGGAGATCGTAAGATGAGATGGCTGAAACTGCTGCTGAATACTAGAATTTGAATTTACCTGCTCTTCTTCATTGGAGTTTTCTTCTTTTTTAATATTTGTCAGATTTCTAGAGTGAGGATTATCTTTCTTACATTCTTTCTCAGGGCTCCGTTCCCTTTTCTTACCTTGCGTCCTCTTCATATCTCCTGGCCTTCCTTGCCAGTGATTATTGGAACACGAAGGATTGGATGATCGAAATTCAGTTCCACTAGATTTATTTTTGTATTCCGAAGGAAAATTTGTATTTCCTTTATCCATTGTGATAAATGAATATAATGAATTCAATGATCTCTTAGATTATCTAGTCTTATCGATATATCTAGTCTTAACTAGCTCGCCATCTTGATTGAAATTTCATGATGATGATTGGCTTTGAATTGGATTGCATATCCGTTGCCTTGTGCATACAGCTCACATACGATAGCTAAGAATGATACAATTTCCCAGAGGCAGCCACTAACGCACTGTCTTGAATGCCAGCCGGAATAATATTTTTTTCCATGCAAAGAGATTTTAGTATTGCACCGCTTGCTGAATTAATATAAACTAGCTCTTGGTGTCAACATTTTTACTTGCTAGCCATACATTGCAGCTACCTCACTACTGAAATCAGTAATATTGCAGGTATCATTTTAATCACTTTTCATAGCATTATTGTCGGATCTGTGTTTTTATTTACAGCAAAAAAATTTTTTGTTACTTATAAAGATTGTTATTTGTGTCTGTGTACTGAATATTATTTGAAAGAAAATATGAATGACAAATACTTTACATAACTTTAATAAAACAAGGTTGAATGGAAACCACTTTTTTGTTTCTTATGAGTAAAAGGTTAAATTAATAGCATTTTGCACCGTGACTTCAAAGTAACCATTAAAATTATCAACTTTCTTTGTATGAATATGCTTAAATGGTATTAAAATAAAAATATTAATGTTATGAAGAAAGCGGATTAGATTAGTATACATATTAACTACTTAAAAGTAATGTTTTAAGCATTTTAATTTGTTTTCATGATGTAGTTAATAGTACTAGGGTAAATTAGAGTTAATATATTGTATAGTTCACATTTCTTTATTGTGAGGTTCTGTTTATTGAACATTACTATAAGTGACATTTTGAAAATTTATATTATAGTTTGGAATAATATGAAAGGACTAGAATAAAATTTGAATAGTTGATAGAAAGCATAAATATGTAACAATTGTAATGTAATGATGTGTTGTTTTGTTATAGGTTGACTTTCTTGTCATCAACTCATAAAATACATTATTTTAAAGCTCCTTCAATAACCTCAGTGTGCCCGTATGTATGAAGTGGGAGTTATGTGTAATTTGTTTAATTACTTATGTGCATTGAATTTTCATTAATATTATTTGAAAGGACACTTTTTTATTTCTTATGAGTAAAAGGTTAAATTAATAACATTTTGCACCGTTATTTTAAAGTAACCATTTAAATTATCAACTTTCCTTGTATGAATATGCTTAAATGGTATTAAAATAAAAATATTGATTTACATTTTATTATATGATTGGTTTTACAAATTAGCTTACATGTGTTAAAGTTCTCTGTTTACATATTTTATTATTTGTTTGGTGCTGCTATGATAACATTTCTACTATAAATGATATTTTTAAAATTTAGAATAATATTGAAAAGCACAAGTTGTATTGTAACACAAATTGTGCGTCGTGTTTTGTATATTCAGTTGTAATGCGTTTAGTTTTGTTCTAGGTTGTTATCAGTTACATGTGGAAATAATGCTCCTGCATTGACTGAATTTTTAACAGTTCTGACCTGAGTATTGTTACGACTGCCAGGTCAGTCTTGTTGAAAATTCAGTTTTGGTCCCTCAGTACAGAAATAGATATTTCTAGGTGACCCAAATGAGTGTTATGAAGAAAGCTGATTGGATTAGTATACATTTTAACTACATGAAAGTAATGTTGATTAAAATAATGATTTGAACATTTTAATTTTTTAATGATATAGTTAATAGTACTTGAGTAAATTAGAGTTAATAAAGTATATAGTAGTATTTTTTTATATTGTGGTTGAGTAACTCAACACCTTAGTACATTATCTCTCTCTTCTAATAATGTTTTTAAAAAATGTAAAGTGCAGAATATAGAAATGATGGAAATATAAATATTATTCTATTATAAACTTAATAACTAGAGTTGATTTGTTATAAAAAGCAATGAAAAAAAAACCAATTGTCTTTTCTTTTCGCACTTACCCTGGTAATTATTGAACAACCCTGATCTCAGTCTTCTTGTTATCCAACGATAAACTTTATTACAAAAACTTTATAAAAGCTTTATTTAAAAAAAATAACGACTAATAATTTAAGTTAAAACAATTAATGAAACAAAATATAAAAGTAAACAGAATTATTTATATTTAACAAAATTTTGAACTGGAAATATCTAGTTTAAATAATGATGGAATAACACTGTGAGAGCTTATACGTAAGAGAAGATTTAGAATAATTGTATGTCAGAGAAATTTTCTTGACAAAACCACCGAAAAAAAAATAAATAGAAAATGTCTACAAGAATCTCCCCCTACCTAAAAGAAATTCCCCTGGAAATTCTAGATAATTGTCTGTTTGAGACAATTTATGAATAGGTAGGGGTCTGTTGATATTTGACATTTTAAAAGGTTAATTAGAGATGAAGGATTAAAATCATCTGAAATTAATTTTATCGAGAACAAAATTTTTAAGGCGTTGTTTTGAAAGCCAAGTATATTTCAAAAATATCAACAGAGTTTTTTTTTTCTTTTTTTGTCTTTTTCTAACTTAAAGAATATTTGGTTAGAATTTTTTTTTCCTCCAGATATATCAGATATCAGACATTTCAATATATCAGATACTATTTCAGTATAATATACTAGAATAAGTTGTTAGTAAAATAATAAAATCACAGGAATCCGAGTACTTAAGTTTTTGAATTTTATCACTGTATAAAAAGTTCATGTTTATTTCATATATATTTTATAAGAGTCAGAAGGTGTAATAAGTTCTCATTTTTCACCTTAAAAAAAATTTTAAAAAGGGAAGCAGAAAATAAACCATCTTATTGAATCAAAATATATCGGCAAGTTTTTCATAATTCCAAATTCTTGGCGTATCAGTTCTATAATAAAGTATTTACTCTGGTTTTTGAAGTGGTTAGTAGTGGTATAAATTATTATTTTTTTTCTTTTCTTGCTTGAATAAAAGTTTGAGAAAACAATCATATTTCGCATTACACATAAGGGGGAACCACAAAAATATCTTTAAGATTGCTTCATTCCATGTAAAAGCTCAGTAATCGCAATGAATTTTTTTTATAATGAATCATTTTTTTAGCATCTTTGAGAGACTTCTTTGTGAATATAAGGAGATGTTCTTCATATTTTTGTACTTTTTAACTCAACCCGAAAATCAAAGTAACTCGCTATTTAAGTATCGGAATTAAACCATATTTAAGGAAGTTATAAAAATAACTAATTGTAATCAAGATTGAAATGATCAAATTTCACGCTGCACGCTAAGAAAAACAAACGAAAATGTTTTTCAGATTGCCTTTATTGGCAAAAAAAATAAAATAACTTGCAATTTAAGCATCGGAATAAAATTATATCGGAATAAAAGTTAAAAGATTAGTTTATTTTAATTAATATTATATCAAAATAATCACAGTTTGCGTTACACGCAAAGAAAAAACCACAAAACTTTTTTTTTTTTTTTTTTGAGATGGAGTCTTGCTTTGTCNTTTTTTTTTTTTTAGTAGCTTGGTGATAAGTGGTGGTTCATCATCCCCTCGATGAAAATATTTTTTATAAACAGCCATTTTTTTATTATTATTATCCTTAATACGTAGGGTACCATCTTTCTGAACAAAACATAAATCTCTTTTTATTTACTCAACCTATAAATAAAAGTAAGTTGGATTTTAAGTATCGAGGTACAATTGCTATAAAAATAACTTATTTTAATTAAAACTATCAAATTTTGCGTTAAATGCTTAGGAAAACCACGAAAAAGCTTTTTTTAAAAATCGGTTTTATTGGTAATAAGATTCTAGCAAGATGTTGATTATCTTAAAGAAATTATTTTTTAATAACCAATAATTTTTTTTCATCCTTGTAAAGCTTATCATCTTTGTGAATGTAACGAACATCCTTATTATTTTTAATTCAATTCAGAAATCAAAGTAATTAACAATTTAAGTATCCGAATACAATCATATTCAAGAAAGTTATAAGAATAGTTAATTTTAATGAAGATTTAAATTAAAATAATCAAATTTGCGTTACATTTGAAGGAAAACCACGAAATTTTTTTTTGAATTGCTGAATGGTAGTAGGTTTCCAACTTAAATGTTGATTATCGCAGTGAAATTTTATTTTATAATCAATAATTTTTTATCATCTTCGAAAAACAATCTGTCATCTTAGTGAATATTCTGAAACACTCTTCTTATACACTGGTTATCATAAATTAAGGAAAATTCACAAAAATCGCGATAACTCAAGAAATTACACATGGAATTTTATGAAACTTACCCACAATATACAACACATAGTAAGGTATTAAACAACATAAAAAGAAATTATCAGACATTAATAGTAGTATAGAAATTAGCACATGTATAAAATAAACAAATTGGAAGTATCGGTTTGCAATAGAAAAAGTACCTTTAATATGGAATATGATTGCCTCTAGAAGCAATACAGCACAAACAGCGATGTGTGATGCTTTCAATTATGCGGTCTATCAGTTCAATAGGAAGTGAGAGCCATTGCTCTTGTAAAGCAGTTGCAAGCGTGGCAAGGGTCTGAGGGGGCGGATTGATGGCAGATACACGCCTCCCTAGAGCATCCCAAACGTGCTCGATAGGATTCAAGTCCGGGGATCGAGCTGGCCACTCCATGCGAGTAATTGTTTCCTGTTGAAGATAATCATCAACAATGCGAGCTCTGTGTGGTCTTGCATTATCGTCCTGTAACAGGAAGCAATCACCAATTGCCCCGGCATATGGGCGCACATAAGCATCAAGGATGTTGTCTCGATAAACCTGAGCATTCACGGTTCCCCTTGGAAAGACATGGAGGTATGTGCGCCCTCCTAAGGATATGCCTCCCCAAACACAGACACTGCCTCTTCCGTATGCATCTCTTTCACGGATGTTTGATGGATGATAACGGGTCCCAGGTTCTCTCCATATCAAATAACGTCTACTGTCACTTTCTAGACTAAACCTGGACTCATCCGTAAAGAGAACAGGCCTCCATTGATCTGACGTCCAGTGGACATGTTGTCGGGCCCACTGCAAACGGTCTCTCCTATGGCGTGATGTGAGCGGCACGCAAATGGCTGGTCGTCTCGCATACAGA